GAATTACAGAGCCACTGGGGCGGAGCCCGAAAGGATTTTTGAGATAAGAATATGCCCATATGTTAATTAGGAATGTGAACTATCATCATGCCAAATTTCAGCCCAATCCGTCCAGTGGTGTATGTGTGATTGAACTTCAAACAAACACTCAAACTTTCACATATAATATTAGTAAGATTTACTTTAGTTTTGATTTATTTACGTACACATGAACTTAAGTAATTTCGGTCTGATTTTGATGAAGCTTGAAGATGTAGGGGTGAATAAACTTGGAATGAGTTTGCGAACCAGCTAGATTATCGAGTCTTGAGAACAAAGTATTTGGGGGTTTTAAATAATGTAAATTTTTTCAAATGTTTACACAACCCTTAAAACTTGAAAATGCCGACTTTCATTACAGCCATCTTTTAAAGCTTTTTAACAAGTCCTAAGTCACTGGGGCTGTGAAGAGTCGTCAAAACACTTCCATGCATAGGCCTACAGAGTTACTAAAATACACAAACTGACAAATACTGGTTGTGGACGTGTGGTGTTGCTGACATATTGTATCAGTCATTACTCACAATCTGTTTGGATGTTTCTCTAAAATACCACACTTCCAGCAAAGTAGGCCCTTGTCGTAGTGAATCCAGTTCAAAGTTCATCATCTATGACACTTCAACATAACAGAACATCAAACACCACATCCACACACACCAGAAGTCTCTATGACGAACATGGTCGTGGATGAAATTCCGCACAAAGGCTACTGTTGCTAGTTGGCTGCTTACAGAACAACTTCTAGTCTTGATACCAATTACCAATGTACCTAGCCTAATTCCCTAATGTAATAGGCCCTCATTTCCTTTGTTTATTTTTAAGTTTCTTACCATGATAGCAGCTGCACGGCTATGGCCACACGGGCGTTTTTTCACGTGTTAAAATGTAGCTTATTTTCACGCTGCTTTAATGCCCGCTGTTGTATGCCACATGTGCGTTTTTTTTAACACGGTAAAATCCAGCTTATTCTCACACTGGTTGAAGTCCAGGAGCCGCAAAACGCTCTGGGAACCCGCAGTTGATAACTCATAACTCATAACTCATTTATTGAACCAAAATAACAGATACAAAATTTGCATTGGTCATGTCAAATAATAGAACTAAAATTAAAATAAACAATAGACAATGTTGCTTCAATAAAACAATATCAATTACTTCTTACAACAACAAAAAAAACTAACTAACTAAACCCATCAGCGACACAATCTCGAACACTGTAGTAACCCTTGGCCAAGAGTATTTTTTTGATTTGCTTTTTAAAGCTGTTCAAGTCCGACTCCAGCTGAAGGGAGGGAGGGAGGAGATTAAAAAGTTTAATGTCATTGTAGTGAAAGTGTCTCTTGAAAAATGTAGTTGAATGAGATGGTAATTTAAGATGGGAATTGTTACGTAGTGAATAGGAATGTGTAAGTGAAGATTGGTATTGGTGTAAGTTTTTTTTAATGAGAATCAAAGTTTCCAAAATGTATATTGAGGGAAATGTTAAAATTTGTGATGAAATAAAGTATTGCCTGCAAGATGTTCTTCTTTTCAAACCAAAGACTGCCCTAACTGCCCTCTTCTGGAGTCGGAAAAGGAAAGACGTTTTCCCACACTCACACCCCCACACCGGCACTGCGTATATCAGGTGCGGGAAAATCACTCCATAATATGCCGTAATTAGAACATTACATTTAGAACATTTGATTGATGAATTCACGTAATTATGTTGTGTATCTTCCTCATGGCCGGAATCGTAACTTGTTTCTGTCTAGTGAACAAGAAATATGAATGGTTTATTAATTTAAATACAAAAACAACACTAAAATTATTTTATTTTGTTATCCTTTCATTTAATTATTTACATTTAATATAAAAAATATAATATAAATCTTTTTATGGAAAAATTTTTATCAGATCTTTTAATATTCTACTACATAAATGCCTCTTTACATTTTTGGTCCAACTAAATTCCTTTCATTTTAGTAACAAATTATTAAGTGGTCCAGTAAGGTCGACCCATGTTTAAGATAAAACATGTAGGCCTACTGTGTAATTGGCTAGACCATAAAATATTTTACGCTATCCTGGAAAAAATTAGACAGGCCTTCATTTATCTTTATTTTAACTTGCTAGGACGACTTGATCAAAGCTGCGTCCTGCTCCCGCCCGTGTGGCCAGGGACAGAGCGTGAAAACAAGCTTCAAAAATGCACCCCAGTCCATTCTTCAGTGGGCCCGCGGCAGGTGATTTTGCAGACGCGCCGCATCTGTGTGAAAAAACACTGCGTGTGGCATACCTCATTACATTTAATGCTGCTCATATTTCTCGCTTTTTTTCATGCTGCGTTCTTGCACGAAAAAACGCCCGTGTGGCCTTAGCCTAAGTGTAACTGGTGATTTTATTGTAGGTTGATGGTCAAGATCAAGCGGAGGAACTGAAAATGGTTATCAGCAAGCCAAGTCTTGATGTTTTACTGGATGGTTTACATAAAATCCAAACCCAGTTGACGAATGTGGCAGCCAAAAACAAAAGTTAGTAGACTAATGTTGCTGTGATGAGTGAATGGATTGTGTTTGTTGAATTTACTTCTCTCTTATATTTCATATATTATTATAAGGATATGTTTTCTTTCATATTGAATACTTTATAAAATTCCTTTTAAGTACGGTAATTGTTGTTATTAAAAGTTACAGATGAATTGATATACACAAATTAGTGAAAACATTATTGGTTTTGCAGAACCTAAAATGATTTTTTAAAGGTCCTCGTTAATTTTTGTTCTAATTTTTATAAACTTCAAAATTAACAGTTGACATAAAATACAAACCCAGTAAATGTATGTGGCAGCTAAAAGCATAAGGTCGTTAAGTTAGATTAATATTTTGAGACCCGTTGCTGTAACGGGTCAATGTTTTGTGTTTGTCACATTTACTTCCTTATTTCATATATTATAAGGATACTTTGTCTTTAATGTTAAATACATTTTAAGAATTATATTAGTTACTATAAAGGTTTAATGTTTTTACTAAAAAATATAGATGGATGGAGGATAATCTAAAGGAAGTGGGAAAACTTGTTAGGTTTTGCACAGCAAAAAAAATCTTCCAAATATAGTATTTTAGAGGTTCTAAGTTGGTTTACTTTTAAAAAATTAAACAATTTGTCATAAACTGAACAAAAACATTTTTCATCCTGAATCCTTTTGAAAAATTGTATAGCATGGATATATCTATAAGGAATTACATTAAACTCGATAACAAGTCTCAAGGGATTATTAAATAAGACTTGTTGGTTGTGCCACATCATTAAGAGTTACAATAAAAGGACTTTAACATACACACAAATTGAATCAGAATTGGTTGTCAGTTTTTTTAATCTGATTTTTCTGTGAATTAATTAATTCTGTGAGGTTTTTATGGAGAAACTAACAAAAGTTGCAATAACTTTTAATTTGTTATGTTTACAGCAACAGGGGGGATACCATCTGATTTAGAGTCAAAACGAGTAAAACATACTACATTTAAAAAAAATCAATTTTTCCGTAATATATGGGTTTTTATGGAAAAATACCATTCAAATAAAAATTTTGGTCTGTAGCTCTGTACACATACAGGCAGACAGCCAGACATACACAGAGACATCACTTTGAAACCACTTTTTTGGGTTCAGGGGGGCCAAAAAAGGATATATCCACCTAAAACTCAAAAAAACTTTTGACAAAACAATCTTTCCCTGACAATAGGGGGAGAAAGAAAAAATTACACTTTTGCTATCAAGGGTCTTGTTGTCAAGGTAATTTGGGACACCAATCCGTTGGCATTGGCGCTTTAGTAACCCGTTGAATCTCACTTTTGTGCCTATTCTTATTCAGGCTTCGGCAGCACTCATCCCGTCCAGCCAACAGTCAAATAGTGGCATGGAAGCTGAATTGATAAACTTGTTGTACTGACGAGTGTACCTCTGAGATTGTTATGCATGCGCAGGTTAGATTTGCGTATGTGTGCAATCTATATTAAGTTAACTAATGTGTGGCTTATCAGATGGATGGACTCACCATAACAAACAGTGCCAGGGTTGGGTGAAATTTGACGGCATTAGTGAGTTTCACATAAACCACGCTTCATTTTACACTTTTGGTTAAATATAGACATGCCGTTTTGAAAGACATTTAAATAATTTATAAAAAATATTTCAATATAAAGGTTAATTGGAAGGAATCTATAGTGAATATACTTATTTAATAATAAGGCACGTCACACTCTGGGTCTGCTCAGGTCAGTCAGCTCAGTTCCGGCAGTTTTCTCCCAAACTGTGTCAGTTAAGTCTGCTCAGTTCAGTTATTTTTGAGCGCCAAACGCCAGTGGACAGACGCTGTCATTGTTCGCGAGTAAATTATTAATTTGTGCCGGGGTTTTCATTAGTGCAAATATTAGTTACAGCAGTAGTGACGAAGAAATTACTGTTATAGCATTGGCACTAGCTACAGAAAAGGATGATCACCTCCTTCATTGTAATATTGTAGTAATCCTTGTGTGACAGGTCGTACAACAATGGATACATTTGTACAACAGAAATAAATCATTCATCGGAACTGATCTTTAATAAATAATCACAGTAGACCTACTACGAACATGTGTCAGACCAGTTGCACAACACTGACTGATGTATTCTGCACATGCCTTCGGTCCCTCCATCGCTTAAATCGCACGCTTACCGAAAAGTGGCTGAGACGGACAGAGCGGACTTAACTGAAAGTTTGTCGAACCGACTGAACTGAGCGGACCCAGTGTGCGACGTACCTTAAGTGATAAATATTAAAAAATAAATAGCTTTGAAAATCTGAGCTTAGTGAGTGTAAAAGCTACCTACACAAGGTTTCTTGCTCCTGTCTACAATATCTGGTGTAATCAGTAGTATGGTAATAATAATTACTTGTAATATAGAAAAATATATTTATTTAGAACTTTTTTACATACAGTTAATTTACTCATTTTGATAGGTTAGCAGAGTTTGGGATTTGCTTTTGACTTTTGGGCCCCTAAGTAGACAACCCAAAATGTTTTAAATAGTTGCATGACCACACACAGAATGGGGTTTGGTTTAAAATAATATTTTAGTTTCATTAATTATATGTGACACAACAGATGCTATGATTAACAAGTTGATTTCAAATTTAGCTCAACTTAACTACATCCATTTAAAATCTAAAAAAACTTAATGACTCATGGGAATGGGTACTACTATTGACTATACACAGAGACGGTGTATAGTCAATGGTCAAAGATGCTATTTGACAATGTCAATTGCTTTTGTAGAGCTGAAAGACAATAAAAAGATTTGATTTGATTTGAATGATGTTAGTAACTGAATATCGCCAAAATTCAAAGCCTTTTTTTTTAATCTGATTTATTTTCTTTTGAACTTTAAAAAAAGATCCAAACAAAACGTACCTATATTATACATACATCCTTATAGATTATTTGTGATCCTTAAGGAACAGCTGAAGACAATTTTAATGTTAGTTGCGCCTGGATTGTGTAGATTAAACCATACATTATTCTCTAATTATTACCATCCTGTGAAGCAGAAATTGTAAAATATACCCTAAAATACAAAATTAAACATTAATTAAACATTTAGTTAACATTAGTGCAACATAGTTAACATCCTTACCTACATGGAGCTCACATAAAAACGAGAACTACAACTGATTGTAGGCTACAATTCAAAGTTAATAATTTAACAAATTTTAACCTACTATTTGTTAATCTAACTAAACAAATCACCATAGTCTCTTTTTAGAAACATAGCAAAATATACAAGGCAGTTGATGTTATAAACTTGTAAATCTTAAAGTTAGAATACTGTTATTGTCAGTCTTTGATTATGATTGAAAGTGAAGTGGAAGGACTTTATAAGGCAGACCGCTTAGCCATGTTTTGCTGCACCAGATAGTTAAAAGTGTAAGTGTCGGGTCGCCAGGCCAGCAGCATGTACAGAGTCCACACTGTTGCCAACAGCAGACGATCTAGTCTGAAATACAAATAGTCAGTGATTCAGGGATTTGTTCTTTATGAGCATTTATTTAAAGTGTAAATAACAGTAGGGCCTAACTGTACTATAACTTAAAAATCATAAAAATATTTTTCAGATAACCTATTTATAAGATAACAGACAATTTGTTATTGTAAATGGGGTTTGAGTCAGAATGTTTCTACATTCAGTTTGCAACAAACTGTTGCCATTATCGCAACCTTCCATAATTGTACTATGGTGAAATTTTGAAATGAGAGCTGTGATTAAAAACCTGCAAATTCTAAAATGTTTGGTAAGATAACGTTTTTTACAGAAAATTCTAAACTGATGAAATTGATAGTCAAATTTGTGCCATGTACGACCACGGAGTAATTAGTGCCAAGTAAAAAGTGGTGCATTATTGTTTTTTTTTTTTTTTTTTATTAATTGCTGAAAGTTTGCTATTGAGAATTGCATTGGTAGGTCTAGTCACAACGTAGTTATAACTATGCCATCATTTCATAATTGCAGAACTACAATCCGCAATTGTCCCAACTTGTGATCTAAAAACATTTAACCAAAATTCCATGACATAACGTCTTGGAATTTGAGGGGAATTAATTGAGAGCTCCATAAATCGTAAAGCAACAATTTTCAAAATTATTAATAGAACATAGACTGAAAACTAGCACCGGTTACAGGTACTCATAACAACAACTGCTGTTCATAGTCTGCATTCATTAATTTGGGCAAAATAAGATGCTTTCAATATTTTCTTTACATGAAATAAAAACCAGCCTAGGAGTCCTATTTCAAGTAGTAAAGCTTTCAATAACTTGATTCCATTCCTGAAATTTTGAAGTAGCCTGATTTGAAAATATTATGGGAACTTGTACCAGAAAACTCTTTGCTCTTTTACTCTTCTCTTTGGCATCTTTAAACCTACCCACACATGCTTACCTCATACAAGGATAAACCCAAAATATGAGTGCAAATCCTAGGAACGATGGGTGTCTCATTTTCTGATGGAAATGTTTCATACGCTCTGAATTCAGAGTAGATTCTTCTGAACGCCCAGTCATGTGACAATAGACCTGTAAAAGGTCAATTTGTTTGGTAATGATAATGTTATAAGAATTTACAACTATAACATTCCTAAAGAAACCTATTTATTGGTTTAATGTCTATTATTATTTTACCTTCCATTGATACAAATCCTATAGACATGAAATATACAATAAATAAATATGAATAATTCTCTGAAATTGAGTTTAAAAAAAAATTGCGGTCCCATTGTATTGCCAATTGAAGGGGGAAAGACGAGACAACAAGTTGATTTTTAAGCTTGCCAGATGGGGGATTTTACAGGGAAATTTTACTACCAACCTAAACCACAACAAACAGTCACCTCCAATACACGCTAACGTGGTATAGGTCCGCCTTTGACCGACGCTAGAGCAAAAACGAAGATATACAAAAGGCATTGCCGATCAATTACTGTAGCACCCGAACACCGCTCGGCCCGTATCCGATCGGATACGCCCGCAGTGAACATGTTAATAACTAAAAACTAAGATAAAGGTAATATAAACAAATCTTTTACAGTACTTGTTCCATAAAATTTGACAGAATAATAAAAAACAGGTACCCTATCTCTATATATCCTTATTTCTTATCAAGATCTTTTTGATTTTACATACCTGCTTTAATCCTAGAAGATCTGGCAAACCTATAGTAATCATCATTGCATAGATCAATATCCAACTGACAATATGAACACCAGTGAAGAATCGCAGCTTATCAACATCTTGAGTATCCACATTCCAAAAAGTAAACTCGGGGATTGGCATCCACCAACGCACAATAAGCTGAAAATATAGGTGGTAAATCAATTATTTTCCACTAGTGTACCTGTTGCTCAAATTCGAGCAATTTCTAAGTATTACAGGCGTTATTTTATAAAAGAATAACAGTCATAATTTCTGATGACTTTAAAATATTCAACTCAAAGACTACGGAAATACTCAAGATGTACATAACAGATCGATATAATCAACATTTAATAGTGTTTTCAAATAGTGTTTTCTACAAATAGCCTTACTCATAGCCGCAATAGGTTTCCAGACACATTATGTGTCCAAAATTCTAACAGGATGACTCCCTTCCCCATACCGCCCTGAGTGATAGGGATCATTGAGATTCTCTCTAACCTTTCCTCTCCCCTTCATGGGCAAGTTTTCATTCCTTTTCTTTCTTAGTTTTTGTTTGTTTCTTTTTTTAAATTTTTTCACCTGTATGTGTCCCTGGTTTTTCCTATTTCCCTATCTACTTTTCTAAACGTCTCAATTGTTTCCTTGTCACTCATCAAGTTTTATTTTCTCATCTTTAGACCTATCTTATCCAAGAAAGACTTCTTCCTGTTCTCTCCTATTTGTCTCCTGAAGTGAACAATTTATAAATTCGTGACTCATGGTTTTTATTTCTCCACATCTACATACTTCCTCTTCCACCATGTGAAATCTTCACAAATTTGCCTTGAAATTGTCCATGTCCTGTGACAAACTGTGTTTCATAATGGCCCATCTCCCAATCTTGTTCCAGTCTCTTTCTGATGTCAGGTATATATCCGAACGTTTACCTTTAAAACCTTAACACAAAACACTCTGCTCCCAATGCATTTACCACTCATTTAATATCTCCTTTCTTCTGTTTCCGATGTAGTCCTACCCACACCTCCTTGTCTCCCAAAATCAACAGCTTATGTAGCGATTATCCAACAGTTCTAAATTGAATGTGAAATCTTCAGGTAGCTGGCACACTAGAACCCAACACGTAAGAATTAATGTGACATGTCACAGCCCTCTAAGATAGGCCTAGCCTGAATTAATGTCTAATCAATTCAAAAAGCTGTATTGCTTGAAACATGGAAATAAATGCATTGCAATTGTCAAAATAAAATGAATGTGTAAGGTTCATAGGCTCGATCTGATCCTAGTGTCTTAGGAGAAGGTAGCGCACACAAAACTAAATTTTAGGAGTTTAAAAGTCAATCAAAAAAATTAAGATAATTCATACCTTGTCAGTGCACACTTGGAAAATAAAATTTTAATTTTTCATAACCTAGGAAATAACGCCCTGATTCTGAAAATGAAACTTTTTTGCAGTGCAAAATGTCGGAAAACCACGGAAAAATATTTTACGACGAAATTGGTCGTGTGAGTACTCTAACCGGTACAGCAAGCTGAACAAGAATATGCAAGTCTTTCCAAGATACGATAGATATTAACGGAGATACAGCCGAAAAAGCGTCGCAAAATGGGGAAGAAAGTTCTGCGTAAATCGATCCAGGGTATTCTAAACACTTTGACCGGGTAATCTAGCTGAACAATATGCAAGAAGTTTCAAGATATGATTAAAAATTACTAAGTTACAACCGGAAAAGTGTTGGTTGGGTTAGGTTAGGTTAATATTGGTATTGTTAGTAACCCAACCCAACCTCAAATTAACCAGTAGAGCAAGCTGAACAAGAAAATGCAAGAATTTCCAAGATCCAATGAATATTACCAGATATACGCCCGCAAAAGCGTCGGAAAACGGAAATTTAACTAAGTTACGTACGGAAAAGCGTTGGTTAGGTTACGTTGGGTTGGGTTGGGTTACTAACAATACCAATGTTATTGATAACCTAACTATAATAATGGTACAATACCTCGTCAAGTAGTCCAAATGATGATTGAGGTTAGAAACCTACATGTTTCGCCGTAAATACGGCATCGTCAGGGTTACAAAAACGAAGACATCGATGTCACACGCACACAATAAATACACGGATACGAACATTTAATTACGGAAAGACAAAATAAACATTTATTGACATTGATAGTCCTATCACACGCACACGACACGGACGGTCCCGGCGCAGGTAGTAGACTGCAGTGTCAGACTCCTTCCTCGTTGTTGTCCATGTTATCAGTAGGACAAAGGTCAGGTGGCCGGTTATTTTGATGAATTAGCACATTGAAAATAGAGTGTGACTGGAACTGCAGTTTTTCGTTGAGGATATGTCCACTGGCAGTGTTGTCGTGGTACAATTTGTAGATTTCAAACTCCTCTAACGTGTTTAGTTTACTACCTTTACTGCATTTATGTAGCACCTCAAGACCGTCAGCAATCTCACTCATGTTATGGTTTAGGTCGATTAAATGCTTTGTCTTTCCGTAATTAAATGTTCGTATCCGTGTATTTATTGTGTGCGTGTGACATCGATGTCTTCGTTTTTGTAACCCTGACGATGCCGTATTTACGGCGAAACATGTAGGTTTCTAACCTCAATCATCATTTGGACTACTTGACGAGGTATTGTACCATTATTATAGTCATATAAAGTAATCCAGGGGCCATCAACATGGAATTTGATAACCTAACCTAACCCAACTCAACGTATTCTAAACTAACCTAACCAATACTTTTCCAGTGTTATCCCCATTCTTCTGCTTTTACATGGTTTTGGGCCAAAAAAAACTAAGTTATAATTTTCAGAATCAGGGCGTTATTTTCTACGTTTTTAAAAAAGAAAATTTAATTTTCTGAGGGTGCACTGAAAAGGTAAGAATTACCAAAATAACAAAGGAGATTGGTATGCTTGCTTACCTGAAGAGATAAAGCCGAAATTACACTGTAAAAAACTTTATTTAGGAATGGCATTCCAAGCACTGAAGATATGACCTTGTGGAGAGGAATCAGTGACGAGTGTAATATGATAAATACACACAGCAGAGACAAATCAACAGCAACTGCCTCAACAGCATTTGGCACAGCAGCATCTGCATCTAAAACATAGGTTTACGTCAGAAAATGCTTTTCTCGGAAGGCCTAGTCTAGAAGTGTTGTTTAATGAATAACTTATGCCGAGTTCTAAAAATGCCTTAATGTTATAAGTTAACCATCAAGTGTTAAGCTAGAGTGTAAACGACGTAAGGAATATGCATTTTTCCTAACCATGAGATAACTTACAAGTCTAGGATTTTATTTTAGGTACCTTACCTAATTAGATGAATAATTTGAAGGTCCATATGGCTATCTTTTAAAACCACTGTTTGAAAGAATCTGGATTGTAGAGATTTTGGCCCAAGACAGGAAAGTGGGACTTTTTTATATTGCCAAAGAAAGGAGACTTAAAAAGATGCAAGAACTGGAGAGGTATATCCTTGCTATCGATCATCTTGGTAAAATGTTTTCCAAGGAAAGTATTAAATAGAATCAATGATGTAGTAGATAGGAAATTAAAAAAAGAACAGGCTGGCTTCAGGAGAAATCGCTCGACCAGATCAACACAATGAGAATAATAATCGAACAAATAAATGAATACCGGCCTACAGTGTTGGGATGTATCTGGTTTTTATAGACTTTATGAAAGCCTTTGACTCTTGTCAGAAGAGATCAAATCTGGAGAGGATAAACAAGATTAGGAATCCCTGGAAAAATAATTAATTTAATCAAAGAAATGTACAAGAATTACAGTTGTAAAATTATACAATGGACATAGAGGTAAGCTCGATAGAGGTAAAGCTAGGGGTGAGGCAAGGTTGTGTCTTGTCACCAACCCTCTTCCTGGTTGTGTTGGACCAGGTATTGAGGAACACAAGTAGGAGAGAAATCTACCGGGTTGCAGTTGGTGGAGCTGTCTCCGGCACTTTGCCAGTCGACTTTGGTGTTCCCCAGGGTTCAGTGCTTGGGCCTATCCTTTTTCTCATCATGATCAACGATCTCGACAACCTTGGCACTATCCTCATTTTTGCAGACGACACTTCTCTCCTGTCAGCTGGTATGAACATCGATCAAGCTTTAGCCTTTAGTGCTCATTGCAAACCCCTCTTTGCACGACTTGGTGTGCTTACTGTAGTTGGCCACTACATACTTCTCTGTCTGGTGCACGTTAGGGCCAATTTAACAACTTTCAGCACTCGTGTTGACGTCCACCAGTACAACACCAGGGAGTGCCATCAGCTTGATGTACCCAGGGTGCGACTGTCTAGGACCCAGGCTAGTTACAGCGTGTCAGCCATAAGTCTGTTCAATAAGCTGCCACGTCATATCCAGTTGTTGGACTTGAGAACATTTGAGGCAGTGTTAACCACTTTCATCAAGAGCCGGGCCTATTACAATATCTCAGAGTATTTAAGGGATGATTTAAGAAACCTGTAGCCTGCCGGAAGTATGTAAATAGTAGTAAATATTGTTTTTTTGATTAGTAATCGTGTTAAGTGACGCTGTCAATCCCACATTGTGGGTAAAAGACGAAGAAGGAGGTATTAAGGAGAATGTCCAAAAGACAAAATCAAAGAGGATTAATCCAGTAAATAACAATATGTTTCAAATGGCCGAAGAAGACATAGAGGATGTGGATCCTTTTACATATTTAGGGAGTGTGTTGACAAAAATGGAGGGGCGGATGATGATGTAGTGGCCCAAACCAAGAAGGCAAATGCTGCATTTGTTTAACTATACCCATCAGTTTTGAGACCTAGGGAAGTATCAACCAGAACAAAATTAAGAATATTTATCACCAACGTAAAGTCAGTTTTACTTTAAATGGATGTGAAACGTGGAAAGTTTCTCTAGCAATCACAAACAATTAAGCCACAGGTATTAGTGAACCTGTGCTTAAGAAGAATTTAAAGAATCCATTGGCCAGACGTAATCTCTAATAAAGACTTGTGGACAGCCGCCAAAGAGTTATAAATATGACAAATCCCTGCATAAGGATCAAGAACATGGGTTGGACCGATTGCTCTAAAAGAGTTTGTATTGATGTACAGTTCAATTAATACCTGCTTTCAAAGTTTCACAGGCGTAGACAATGAACTAATCTTATTGTGAACAAACAGTATACCGGTATCGTTGTAAAAAATTATACAGAGCGTTAAGATGGAATCCCCAGGGACAGAGGAAGACCGAGAAAAACAAGGAAGAGAACAATTGAAGCCGAAATCAGAGAGGCGGAAAAAAGCTGGAGATAAGTAGGCCTATAAAGGCATTGGCTGCTAATCGTGTTCGTTAGCGCTGTTTCGTAGAGGCCCTACCTAGGCTCTGCTAAGGAGTGACAGGAAATAAGTCAAAGTCATAACTTAAGTATGGCTATGTTGACGGTTCAAAGGAAACTAGGCCTAATAAAAGTGTCGTTAGATCTCTTGTATCTTAACTTAAATCTGACTTACCTGATTGAGGAGCTGTGGTTGCTAGGCTTATTTTTGATGGGAAATCAGAGAGGAATTTATAGAAAGTAATAAGGCTAGATAGTGTAAAAACAAGCGAACAGAATGAAAGAACTGAATAAAATAATTTGCTTAAAAGTCTCATTTTGAAAGCTTGCGTCTAGAATTATATTTCGGAGATTATTTTATAACAAAAATAAATAGTGTTGCTTTTAACTTTAAAGGTACAGACAAATCGACGTTAAAATTAAAACACTAAACTTGTCGAACAGATTCAAAATAAGAAACCTTAACCAATAACCATACTGACTGAGTGACTGACAGATACGGTCGCGATGGGGGGAGGACTCGTAGTAGGACGATGACGTCATTAATTAGTTCAAATTTGCTCCACACGGCGCGCCAGACGGATTCGGGATGAAGATGATGACGTCACCGTTTCTCGCGACTCGCGAGCGGAGAGAGCAGGCGTAATCAAATTCGTCTGCTACTTGATTTGTCAACTGTTGAGTTAGGTTAAGAAGCATTAATTTACTTGCAATAAGGTTTTTTGTAATAATTAGGCCTACAGTTTGATTAATTAAGTTAAGTGGATGTTAGAACGTCAGTTTAACTCTTGAAAGTAATTAAGTGAACATAATTTATCGATGTAAATTAATTTAATAAGTTAAGTTAGCTCTTAAACTCAAGTAAGTTAGGCCTTAAAACTATTTTAACTGTGGGTGTGGGACATTTACATTAGTGAAGATATGACACTGTGACAAAACACCCTTAAATTTTAAATGATGTATGCATAACTTAGGGCCTAACGATTTCATTTCAATAACATCCAGTCAGTAACTTTAGTTGGTTACACTTAGAGCTATCCCAATTAATTTTGATAACTACTTGGCTGTAACCAGTAAAATAAAAAAAAAACTAGGTTAACATTAAAAAACAAGCTCGAAGCCTTTGAATTAAGGCTATCTAACTTAGGCCTAGCTTATTCATTTGAGTTGTTAACAAATCAGTCGATAGATAAATCTAAAAACCTTGCCTACTTGGTCAGAATTGATCTGAAACTAAGATGCCAGATATAGTCTGTGGAAATACTGTAAGTTAGCATCTAATGTTCTAATAAAAAGCAAGCCTCGACTTGAAAACTAGGTTTGCTTTTATAGCAGTGAAAACCAGTTGAGTGTAGCAATCATGTTTCATGGTTTTTAATGAAACAATAAATATAAAAAAATGTTTATGGATATAATACAAAATACAAATGTTCCCACACACTGCACTGTTAGCCTTTACTACTTCCTTCAGCTCTTCCTACGTCGTGGACCTGTTTCCCTTCCTTCCCATGGCATTTTAGGATAGCCGATTCATTAATCTTAATGCCACAAACAGTTCCCACACTCAGCACCTTTACTACTTCCTTCACCACTTCCTACGTCGTGGACCTTCTCCCTTCCTTCCATGACCTTAATGTAACTGCCACAAACGGTTCCCACTCTGCACTGCTATCCTTCACTACTTCCTTTTCCCCTTCCTACCTCGTGGACCTAATTCCCTCTTCCCTCCCTTCCCATAGCATTTTAGGATTGCCGAAACATTAGTCTAACCAGGGCAGCGTTAAGGGTCAGTGAAATTCTGGTCAAACCCAAAAGCAGCGCCCCCTTTTTTCCTAGTGCGGGCGGGCGGTGGTTGGGGGGCACCCCTAAACCTCCGGTGCCCCTGGGCATATGCGCAGTCTGCCCGTTTATAAAAGTGGGCCTGAATCTAACTGACACAAAGGGTTCCCACACTCTGCACTACAATAGGTTGGTGTGTTGCTACAGAAAATAAAATGAGTGTTTTTTATTCAAATCTTGAACGCTTAATATGAAATAAACAAATTTGTCAAAACAAAAAAGTAAATCGGTTGGTGGTCTAGGTCTTATCAAGAGACCTGCGGTAACAGCTTATTCCCCATTTGGAAAATTCACTAATATTAGGTGTAATGGCGGAGGCCGTATTAAATAAAAATAAGTAGTTTTTAAACGATAAATACTTACCTTATACCATTGTCTATTGGATAATAGTCAAAGCTTATACCTAAATATTGAGAACTCACAGTACCTAAAATGTGCTGTGGTCAGGGAAATTAACAGAATTCCGTCAGGGAATTCTGTTAATACACTCACGTCACTTAAGATATTTTTGTGGGAACCCAGTTCAAATACCTTGGGAATTACTGGTAAAAGACTTAGGTCGGTATGATTTTACCTGTTCAAAGAGGCTTCCCAGGATTTGGGATGACAATTGATTGTACCGTTTTGAAATGAGCTGGTACATATTCCAGTCTTAACATTGTATTAAATAACATGGTAAAAACTTAATTCCTTTTTGTGGAAGCTCTATAAATATTTTGCCAGTTATGAGGTTGTAACCAGGAGCCTTGTCAGAATGAAGATCGTTGACGATGATTGATTTCACCTACGATGATATTTACTTCTGCAATGAGAAGTCAAGTTGTAATGGAGACTACAAATACTCAAATATCTCTTCCTCGTTGTTTACTTCTGCAATTGATTTGAACACATCCTCAAAGTATTGAGCAAAGGCTTCTCTGTGTTACATTTGGCCCAGGCAATTAGACTTAAAAAAAAAAGTTAATTTAAAGTTTAGGTCGTTTCATAACTCACCAGGAAATGCAGGCTCCCCCGGTGAAACAAGACGTCGCGAAATCTGCCAACTTACCAATATGGGAGCCGTGTTCGCGACTGGAATGCTATCCACCCCCTTAGCAAAATATGATGCTATGTAATAGTAATTTTTAATTTGGGTAATTCCGTTTGATATTAGAACAGTTTGACAACGAAACTTGTGTTTCCGTGACTGGAAAACTCCCCCCCCCTCCCGATCTCTGATGTCAACATGACGTAGGAACCTGCTTGGGGGGGGGGGTAGTTGTCCGGGGGACAGTCTTCCGGTGACCCACTCCCCATAGTGAATAATCTTAGGCTTCGCCATAGGTGATAGAGATCGGGTACTTCTCACTGATGTACTTCTCATACCAGTGATTATTGATATTATATAACAACCGCTTTAAATGTTAAGATGACCTATTAAAATGTTTATCAATTGGATTCCTGCTATTTTGCCAGATTCTTCTCAAAATATATCCATAAGCATTAAGCAATCAAACTACGTAAAACAGTTTAGGCTACTTACAGTATCCTCCAAAAGATTAAAAAGGAAATTTTGAATTTTTTTTTTCTCCGTTACCAATAATTGTACAAACACTTTAATGTACTAAATTATTTTTATATTTTTAAGCTATTCAAAATGGTTTAGAGAAGAATTGGGAATTTTTATGTTTTGAGGGTCAAAAATTAGAAAAACCCCATAACACCCTGTTCCCATAGTCTGATCGTGCTGGTTCGGGAACTCATTCAAGTTTATCCTGCCCTACACCTTCAAGCCAAATTTCATCAAAACCAGACAAAATGACTTGAGTTATCACGTTCACGGACATATTTATAGTTGTTATATATATATAACAATTTGAATGAATAGTTTTTTTGGCCTCTAAGGACATCAAAATGAAAAAGTATATCAGTCCCGGGTCTAGGTCTGATCGTGCCACCTACAGTGATAGTTAATTCTCTTAATACATTCGATATGCTTGATAGGGTCACATAAATATATCTTAAGACTAATATTTTCTCACTACTTAAACCAAAAATAGCAATATAGGCCTACCTTGGACAAATTGTAAATATTAATCAATTGAAACAAAAGAGTTGTTGAAATATAGTTTTATTTATAAAACACACATATTTATTTTCCAAAGCTAGCTTTTAAAATGTAGGTGTTAATTTTGTAAAGTAAAAGAATAAATTGTTAAATTAAATTAAAAATAACTATTCTTGGTCTTTGTTTCCAAGTGTTGGGTGTTGCTTGGCTCCAGAACCAGGAATATTGTCCCATTTGTTCCTAAAAAAAATTGTAAAACTATAGTACAAATATGGCAATGTACATTGTTGTAACAATATTTTTGGTCTGTAGACTGGCATAGATTTAAAACATTGACAAATTGATCGGCTGTTGGCAAAATATTTCCTACAGTTACCTAACAATGTGCATGTTCTCTCACTGATTTTAGAAAGCAAAGTGGCCAATTCGCTCATCAGTGAGACAATGTTAACATTGTCTCACTCTAATTACTTTGTCTCAATCACTCCAGATTTGCAACGTGAAGGCACGAAATAGTGAGCGTGTAACATGCAGACAAGGTCGTATGCGCGCAATATACGTTGGCAGCACTGGCTGTAAATCAGCTGGTCAGCTGTTGTATCATTAAATGTAATATTAAAAGTTCACTTCTGTGTAAAAATATGTCACGTTTCTTTACCATTTATTTGTTTTATGGTAACTGTAGGAAAAATATAATGTACAACTCGAGTGCAAAGTGCAATTGCCTCACTCGAGAAACCATTCCACACTCGCCTACGGCTCGTGAGTAAGTATTTCTCTCGAGTGAGTCAATTGCTCCCTTTTCTCACTAGTTGCACAAATAACTATATTAGAGAGGAAGAAACAGAATAGACACATCTCTTCTGACTGCAACACTTGAAATAATTTTCACTCTGTAAAAAACATTCATCGTCAATTTTTTATGTTCTGGAACTTAAGTGTTATATTTTTCACTATGCCTAGTCATAAACCGTACCTATACAGTAGAACCTCGCTACGGTAATTCGAAAACCTATATAATTAGAAATGTTTGTCTGTTCCCCTCACAAAGCCTCTAAAATTAAAAAAAAATAATATACCGATAGTACAAAGTAGTACAAAGTAGTTTTAAGCTTAATACAGCCTCTACAATTTGAATTTTGTTGCCATAATTAAAACTGTTACTTCCAAAATTCGAAGTCAACCTCTACAATTCGAACTGCATTACCGTAAGACAAAAAATATCTTTGTTGAAACATGAACTGACAATCCGTCCCCCAAGATGTGTTCATTAGTCTCCATTCTCTCAAACTCCACACTTAAAACTGGGACCTCCACAATTCAAATTTTATTTTTCTGACCTCTATAAATCAAACTCTTTACATTTTAAACTTCCCATAGTTCGAAATATATTTTCTTTCCTCTGAAATTCGAATAAGCTAAGTTCTACTGTACTAAAGCCTGGTTTACACGGGTAGAGTTGTTGGTAGTGTAGAGTTTATAGTAGAGCTACTTTCTTGTCCACTCTACCGATTTTAAGCAAGTGACTGTTCACACATAGTAGAGTGTTGATGATAGTTTGTGAACTGTTTGTTCCACCTCCATTCCCAAAATGAGTGTTATAAACCAGTTACAAGACAGTGTCACTCTATCAGAAACTCTACTCTACTGCCGCGGATCTCATTTACACAAGTATAGTGTGCAGGAGAGTGACAATTTTGCTAGTGGTGGGGGAAGTAGAGTAGAGCTACTATGCCACATGTTGCTAGTAACTCTACTCTACCACCTACTATCTACTATACTAGCTACTAGGCGCCAGTGGGTGTTTACACGGGTAGAGTTACTATACTAGAAACTCTACTCTACCCATGTAAACCAGGCTTTAAGCCTACTCACTTACCACTACTAAGACTTACCTTTTATTTGGCTCAGACCTCTTGATTTGGCTTGTCCGAGCCAGTCTTTGATTAACTGCCTCTAATTCAGGGTCTGTCGCTTTAGCCGAAGATGCATGAGTCTAAACATAAAAATAACACAAATTTGTTAGTGATGGGTTGAATTATGATTAAGATCATAAAATCAAAAATAAATCTAAAAAAGTTGTTGGCATTAACAAATTTAGGTAAACATTTACTTTGATCCTCTATAGTCTATAGGCAGCCTACATATTTTTGAATGTGATGAGTGACTACCTGAAGAAACATTAAGAGGATAGCTTTGCAATAGCCTACAATTTTATTAAAATGGTAAATTAAATCTTCTCTAGCTGGAATAAACATGATTTAATTTTTCCCAAATACATGTTGGTACATAAAACTATAAGAAAGCCTCGACTGTCAGATGCTTCAGCAAAAATTGATAGCGGCTCTGACCATTGCAGTGATCTCGTATTTGATTGGCTAAGCCAAAAGGGATCCAGCAAGAGACTACCGTTGACTTATCACTATTGACATTAATGCACACATGGATATGATTACAAAATAATATATTAACTGTTCTTACCAAATAAGGTAATCTTGATTTAAAACAAAGATCAGAATTCAACACTCGTTTCTTCTTGAACCGTACTGATCAGATGTTACTTTTGATGCCTTGCATTTTGTTGAGCCACCTTCAAGGAATCTGTAACAAGACAATAATAACTTAGTGTAAGTTAAACATAAGTTATCGATTTTTTTTTGTCGAGGCATATAAATTTTAGGTAAAATGGTGGTCAAGTTCATCGGGTTAACATATATCATTTGTCTCAAAGAGGTGAAAGGTGAGTTAACTTAGTCTTAAAATGGATCAAGATAATGCTTTGACTTAATGTAACCAAACATGCATGTAGGCTAGCCATTTTTAATTCATTAACTAAGACATAGTTGGATGAGCCACTTCAGTAACTTTGTCATACAGCCAGTTTATACTGACACCCGCAGAGCTTCCTGGATCAAACTCGCTATCGGCTTAGTCATACAATTTATTCATCCTTCATCCATCCCTTGCGATCAAACTGTTTTATGCTAACTTACCGACAAGTGTTCGTGCCCTATATGTTACCTGAAACAATTTAAATGTGTATATACTTTGCGGAGCCTACTCTTAATTTTAGGCCCTGGTAATTTATTTTATAAAAGAACATTTGACGAGCCACTTGCATTTCATAAAATCTGAACCACATCCGTCAGTTAGGCCTACGATTAAAACCTAAGTTGTAACTTAATAGGCCTAAGTAAGTATTTGCCTATCTTCAAGACAGTTTGTATAAAGCACTGTCTTTATTTCCGAAAATACAATACAAAGTTTTAACAATTTCGCTACTGTTAGAATCGGCTCCGCATTACAAGACAGCAAAAAGCAGGCAGCTCCAGCAATACCTTGTTTAGGTGATGAGACCTTCATGAGGCTGAAAGTTCTAAATAACTTACTGTTGTAATGCCTTCAAATGCCAATTCAAACTATGAACACTATGCCTAACTGATAAATGAGTAGCAAATAACAAGTTAGTGTCAGTAACTTAGTAACAGAAATCTTGCAATAATAATACTGTTGTAAGTAATGCCAATTCAAACTATGAACTATGCCTAACTGATAAATAAGTAGCAAATAACAAGTAAGTGTCAGTAGTAACAGAAATCTTGCAATAATAATAAAAATACTAAAATACTCAACTCACCTGATGAAAGGTTGCAGATGAGTCAAAGAACACATAAAATCACACACATAATTTACTTAATATTTCGCCTCTTTCAGAGGCTTCTTCAGAAGTAGGCCTAGATGGTAGTTACAAAACACCATGGTAGTTGTTTTGTAACTACCATCTAGGCCTACTTCTGAAGAAGCCTCTGAAAGAGGCGAAATATTAAGTAAATTATGTGTGTGATTTTATGTGTTCTTTGACTCATCTGCAACCTTTCATCAGGTGAGTTAGCTGTGTCCTCTCCATCCTATATTTATTTATTTATTTAATCCAAGCTAAATGCTTTTTCCTAAAAACATAACCTTAAAATACTCAACTGCAACTCTTGTCTTCTGCTGCACCGATCGATGTATCAACATCAACAAAACATCAAGCCAAGCCTAAAAAAAAGTAAAGTTGATGACGTCATAACGGTGTCGGCTGCCTGACTAGAGTGCTGCCCGTGGAACAAATTTGAACTAATTAATGACGTCATCGTCCTACTACGAGTCCTCCCCTCATTGCGACCGCTGACCGGTCCTATTCAAATTCAATCAAAACAAACAAACGATAAAAATAAACAAACAAACAAATTCCAAAGTCTGCAACACTGTAACTCCACTCCAGTCCAGATGACTAACAAACAACAACAGTCCCGGCCACGTAAAGAGAGAAAATGTCCAGGTAGACCCGGTCAGGCCTAATCCGCCGTTGTCAAAACATAGCTATTGTTTTGAAACCGAGGGGGCGCGCTACCCCATCCCAGCGGTCATTGCTACCTCAGCGGTCATTGCCTGCTGCTTCTCAACATCGACTAGCCAATCAACGAAGCGACGTAGAATTGCGATTCAAATTTTGTGATATTCGTCTTCACTTTGTGAATAAAATGACCTGTCACTTAATTATAGGCGATCACCCGTTCGATTTATAGAATTTGTACTGGCCCGAGTTATTTCTAAGAATTAAAGGGAGGCAGTAGCAATGACCGCTGGGATTGGGTAGCGCGCCCCCTCGGTTTCAAAACAATAGCTATGTTTTGACAACGGCGGATTAGGCCTGACCGGGTCTACCTGGACATTTTCTCTCTTTACGTGGCCGGGACTGTAACATTAGGTTTTTTCGTTCCAATAGACTGGAGTGGCAGTCTTGTAAAATGAATAACCACGAGGCTATAATATTTTCCTTCATTCTGATCCTTGTAATAGAAGCAAGTTCTGCTAGAAGCCTTATTTTGATCAAACTTTGCAAATTAATTATTGTATCCTAGGCTATTATTTTACTAAAAAAAAAACCCACTTTATTACCCTCCCTGTAGCAGAAAACCTAGGTACTGTACTTACTTGTTGTTAAACCGAATGTTATTTAATTAGATTAAATAACATTCCCTGATTGAAAATCCAATCAGGTAAATGGAATTTCGCTTATTCTGCATAGGTTTGCTGAGGAGGTGGTATTTGTGTATTTTTTTACAACGATACTGTTTGTTCACAATAAGATTAGTTCATTGTCTACGCCTGTGTGGAACTTTGAAAGCAGGTTATTGAACTGTACATCAATACAAACTCTTTTAGGGCAATCGGTCCAACCCATGTTCTTTGGGTCTGACAGGATTTGTGTGTGATAGCTCTCTTGAAATTTTATCTATTGTACTCTCAAGAGTCAACACGCAATGTAAAAGTTGAGCCAAAAGTTTGAGCCAAAATTGATAAGAAAAATAAGATTCAAAGCTCTTGTAACTTGTAAAGCCATTATGGCAAGGATAATAAGTTGTTAGACAATTAATTGCCTAAGTGCATGCATAAAATATTTATGATATCGTTACACATTTCCATGAAATATAAAAGTCTTGGGAAACACAGCTAGAATGACTTGTTACTGGCGACGAACCCATCAAGCTTATTGAAACCTCTGCAACTAACTCAATTCCAAAAGCCCACAACCAATTCTATGCCAAAGCTGAAAAATGCTCTTAGATTGGGGCGATTGGGCCTTCGAGTTAATTACATTAACTAATCTACTATAATAGTCTGGAGTTTTTTTTTCATATGGCCGCTGTTAAGGGACTACTGTTTGAATTATATCCGTACAAATTATTCAACGTATTTTAAGAAAACTGCGTCCTTGGAAAAGAACAATATTTAGTCAGTCATAAAGATATAGCAAATAACTCATAATGAAAAAATATATACTGTACACAATAATTTCAGTTGCCAAAGTAGGAAACTTACCGCATTCACATACAGTGTATCAAAATATTCACACCAGTTAATTTTGTATAGCTCCTATGTAGAATGTAGTTCTTTTCGATAACTAATTTATATAGCTTTTTTATTTATATAGCTCTAATCAGTGCTCAGTCACGGTCACCTCTAACTCCAGGCCGCGGCCTGGTAGAATTGGCAACGTTGCAAGTGGTGTTGTTTAGCGCCAGACGTCCCATAAGATAACATGGCAGACAGATGACACCAGCTCATAAATTCGCGTATTATTAATTTAAATTTTCATTTATGAACATACATTGTATTAAAAGATTGAAAATAAAACATATAAAAACAAAAAAAACTATTTAAATTGAAAATCTATTTTTGTATATTTAAAGTGGAGTCAATATTTTTATATTTTCATATTATTAAAAAATACACAAATACCATTAGCTGCCTCCAAAACAAAACAGCTGTTTCAACTCTACTTGCGATGTTGCCACTTCGAAGGCCGCGGCCTGGAGATAAAGGTGGCCTTGGCTCAGTGTGGTTATAAATAGTGCTCACCTAATAATCATTATAAGGTAGCCAATAATAAGATACTGATTCCTGAAAATTGTGTCACTCTTTCTATGGTTCATACTGGACCCAGCTTTCGAGCTGACCTTATGATCATGGTGGAAGGAAAATTCCACCATGGACCTTGATCATTGGTGTTTTTTGTAAATGATCCTGGCATGACAATACTGTAACAAATGAAACAAAACCACTAGTCTTAGTCAGTAAAAAATTAAACTACAACACAGACTGATCATCTCTCGCCCATTACATCCATTGTCCCTTCAATCATTTTTGTGTTAAATTACGCACCCAGGTGTCGTTGCCATACCGCAATAATTGATATAAAAGACTGCATGCTTGCAGCCAGACGGTCTAGTCTGAGTCTGAAGGTCTGGGGCCCTATTTTTGAAATGGTTGACAGTTGACTCTACAGTCAACACTCAACTCAACCAACAACAGGATTTGGTATTTTTGAAATCCAACAGTTTGGAAGCGAGTTGGAAATCACTAGTTGAGTGACTCTTTTTGGAAATGTAGAGCATACGACCGCCCAAAATTCAGATGACGTCATTTTAAACTAATCACAATGCAGAGTTTTTGTGATCTTCGATTTTACCTCATCTTACTCTAAAAACTGGATCAGCTAATCTCAATCTACCATATTTCGAGATACTGAGGTAAACTGTCAACTCCGTTCTTGAGAGATTGAGGTTATGTCTTGCTTAATCTTAGTGATTGCAAAAGTACCTTATATAAACTTATAAGTATTAGCAATAAAATTTACTATGGATGTTTGTTTGTTTTATGGTGTAGCTCATTATAAGTTTAGGCATATCCTAAATACATTATTATTTGCTTTCTTCGTAGGCCTATCTATTTCAGAACACATCGCCTTATTTTAGTTTTCTTCGTCGTTTTGTTTCATGTTATTTTTAATTGTGTTTTTATTTAGGTTAAAGCTTAAGGCTATTTGCCATTGCACTGAAAGCTTATCGTAACTTAAATTAATTTGATCCCTTTATTAGGTGAATGGTATTGAAACAAACTATGATATTGTTTTTTTGTTTCTCTCTACCACAATCTTTAATACCTTAAATCATAGGTCTAATAACAATAATTATCTTTTAATAAGTTTAATTAGTATCCTAGTGTATTTCTAACAAATTAAATAGTCTTATAACAAAGTAAATAGATTTAAATAGTCTAGTATTGACACAGTAAATAAAATTAACAATCACATAAAATATTGGGTGCTAAGACATTGACAACAAATACATAACCTCTAAATCGCAATTAGTAAATTAAAGCAATAACAAAACAATATGGCGTCGACTCAAAAAGAGTAATTTTTGCCGAAAGAGAGGAAGAAGAAAGTGCAGTCAACCTCCACTCAACAGCTCGATAGGTGTTGAGTAGTTTTGGGGGAGCGTTTCATAAACTCCAAATTTCACAAACTCCAACGCTTAAAATATTAAATAACCAGAGCGGTTCATAACCTCCAATTTTCATAAGCTCCAAATCTATAACATTCAAATAATCACTGTTTCACAATGTCCAAAATTCACAAACTCCAACGTTAAGATACCAAATAAACAGTGCGGTTCATAATGTCCAAATTTCATAACCTCCAACGGTACAGTCTGAGCCAGAAGTCTCTACAGTGGTTGCCACAGTCAGATAGCAGGCACCGTTCGCCAGCGCTCAACTACTGATTATACGTGCATTTTATGATTGAAGAACATTCAGCTGTGTGACTCAAATATGTGTTAGCACATAATGTGCAAATCAAATTTACATTTTTACATTTTTAATACCTTTAATTCAAGCTTTCAGCTGAGTTTCTTAACTGTTCCGTATCTCAATTAAAAAGCCAATTATTACATTACAAATATCGTAAGAGATTTTTTTACCGAAGAAAAATTTTAAAACATATAAATATGTTTTATAAGTATATTTTCTAATAGCTGTTAAAATTTCATAACGATTACATCAGTTGTTTTTTTTGTCATGTGTAAAAATAGCCCTTTGTTAGAAAAGTGCCGAAAACCTTGTACTTTATTCATTCTACCCACTAAAAGGATGAGTTTAAACTACATAAAAAGGTAGAGACTAACATACATAAACGCAGAAATACATTTTTATAAGTAGGATTTAACTTATACATCATATTGTAGGTATACTGGTCACGTTTCAATAAAAGCTCATACTCGAGTATTTACACTTTTTTACTCACAGCAGTCTCGTTTCTCTTTGCAACTTAATGTGGCTAGTTCAATAATGTTAAAGTTTTGACAAGGTGATAATTTATATTTTGATTTGCCTTTTCAGTGGAGAGCTAAGCACTGTATACCTTTTATTTACCAATAAAAATGCGTAATCACAAACAGTGGAGTCTTTGACTGTCGTATAAAATATTAAGGTATGAAGTTGTTGTTGTTGTAACGATTACTGCATATTCTATTTAAAAATAGTGTTCAATGTAAATAATTCAACAAGTTATTAGATAGGTACCTTTTATAGTTTTTAGATTCTATTTAGCAAATTTCCCTATAAGAAAGTACAGTAGCTATTACCGTAGGTGGCATTGTAAGACCTAGGCCCGGGACCGATTTACTTTTTGATTTTGATTTTGTTAGCGTATTATATATATAGATTTCCGTAGTGGTTAATTATTCATGAGA